AAATAAGATGACAAACCTCCAATAACTTTTTCTCGTGCAGTTTATTATTTGAATCGAACTTTGTGGTTGCACGATCATTAATCTCGTTTGCAAGTTTGTAGGAATCACGAATTTGAGTCAAACAATGATGTAAAACAATTGCGGAAGGGCTTAACACAATAAAGGATCAGATAATTGTCAGATGATCTATAGGAAAAAAAAAAAAGTGACTACATACGTTTTTGTGGAGCCGTTTTCGGGAAAATTTTTTTTATAAAGAATTGTTTGAGTGATTTCATCTAGATCACACCTTGAAGACTCTAATGCACGACGCTCCATCTAGCAATTGTGAGATAAATAAAAAAAAAAGAACTTAATATATAAAAAAAAGCAAGAATATATAAATAATAAGATAAATACCACTAGTTTGCTCGAATAAAGAATGGATCTGTCTATATTATTATAGTATATGATGGATTTATATTAATGTATACGTGTAAAATAAACAAATAGCATTTATTATTCCTCGTATGTACCAACACGGAAAACAGTTTCAACGGATATTGGAGCATCTCTCAAAAATCCTCTATTTAATAGTGGTGTGCGATCACTGTCAATGGAAACGGTGTCTTCTTCTGAGAGTTCACTTTGATACCAATCAGCAGTAAGCCCAGCTTCGTCGGCAGCGTTTGTACAAATTCGAAAAAGTTCAGTCGTATTTGTGTAGATTCCTAGAATTGCCTTCCAGAATTTGTAAGTTAAAAGCAACAACCTTGATTGATATAACTGCGTGAAAAACACAAGTTTCATAAAAGAAAGGACATCCATACTCGGTATTTATTGTAAGAAAAATTTAAATCGACAATATAAGATCAAATGCGTATATATAGTGATAATAATGGTAATACACAAGTCAAATCATATCTTAAAACAGATAACAGTCAACTTCCACGCTTAATTTTTATTGCATTTTTGTTTACCATCACGACAAAACTTATGATCTCCAGATGCATTTATTGATAATCATTCTTAGTTAGAAAAACTGATTTAAGCTTACAAATCGTAAAGAATGTCTTTAAATTGATGAAAGTCCTGGGACATTTCTTTTGGCGAAAGGCATGCATGTCACTATCATGTGATCATCAATTAAATGATCCAGTTTGAATTACATGTTCTTGTAAGACTTAGCCGATAAAATCAGCTTAGTCCTAAGTCAGTTGATTCTACATTTATTATTTATACATTTATATATCGATAAACTATACTGGTACTAAAGAAAAGCCGAGTCGACAAATTTAGGTCGACTATAAACTCAGATTGCACATGGAATACCACATGGAATATTGCGCTCAAATCTAGAATATTCTTTAATACAAAAATGTACATATTTGAAATTTATATGTATATAAAAACAAATAAAAAGTATTTTTTTAATACAATTAATTTTAAAAAATTATTCAATGCTTATCTATGATCAGTCTATAAAATAAATAAATTACAGTATTTTATGGCACTTTTTACATGATAAAATTATTGATCTGTACCGTAATTTGCGGCAAATAGTACCCCTTATTAGTGTACCCCCACGATTTGTACCTGGAATTAATCAAGTATCACAAACATGATTGTAAAAGACCCGGGTATATCTAAGATGCAATTTATATAGTGCATGACTTCTTTTATGTCTTTTTCTTTCAATTTCGTTATATAATTCTATTAAATGATTAGTCAACCTTATTATTCTCCTTACATAAACTTCCCCACATAAAATACCCCTCCACCTGACAAAGTACTCACCGGGTACTAAGATTTTGCTCCTAGGAATGTAAGAGACCCAGGGTCTAGGTTGGCCAATGGACCAAAATGTGGCTTAGCAAATGCCAATGGACTATGCCCAATGGACAATATCCATTGATAACTTATTCAAAACCCATCATAGTCCACTGCCAACCCTGCCCGGGGTACTATTTGCCGCAAATTACGGTATTTTATGGTCGATGATGATTGGTTGGTAACCGTACCGGCTGGGTTACCAACCAATCACCGTCGACCATAAAATACAGCATACTTCGCATGCAATAGGTATAGGTACTATTTATTCCGCTTCGCGGGGAATAAATGAGTTATTCTCCTGTTTTATTAATTGACGGCCGGAGGCTATTTCCCTACTGAGTTTGAATTAAGTGCGCCCAAAAATAATAGCAGTAAAACGGGGGATAACTACATACAAAACTTTAAGTGAAGTCTGCTGATCTTGAAATCTGATTGGCCGGTGAGAACATCGGAATTATTGTTAATTAAAAGGTGCTGCTTTTTATTAGAGATTGTACCTAGAGGTTGGAACCGGTTTTAATAATTCGAGTTTATCACTTGAATTTTGTGATATTTTAGAATTTATTAAAATTTAATTGGATTAAATTCTAAAATATCACAAAATTCACGGGATAAACCCGAATTATTAAAACCGGTTCCAACCTCTAATTGTACCCGTCAAGAAAATCTCTACCCGGATATTATTAAATTACCCGGTTATCCAGATAATTTATTATAGCCATATAATAAAAATATCTACCCGGGTACAATCTCTACTTTTTATTCGATCAAGAATGACCAAAAAAAATAAAAATACAAATAAAAATAGAAACGATATACAAAATTTCCTGTCGTGGCTGATGCTGAAATTTAGGGTCCCCATTTAAATCTATAATACCGATACCTACTAAAATTCACTTATACTTTTTTATTAACAACATTAACCCTAAACCCTAACCTAACAAAAGTCCCCCAAAATTTAAAATTTCATAATAATATTAGGTAAAAATTTCAGCATCAGCCGCGACATTTCTTTTATCTCATTTAAAAAAAATTCATGAGACGTTTTGAGCTCCGTTCAAACTTTTAAGAGCAATTATACTGGATTCTTTTTCGTGATGGTATTAATCTTGTCTACTTATTTATAATTTTTTATACCATTTAACCTAGTCGCGGAATAAGTTGTGCCAAAACTACCTGAAGCAATTTTTTGAATATTTTATTAATCTATTAAAGGATATTCTGTGCTCCATTGTGCACATCTTATAAAATCATCTTTTTTCACTATTTCCACTAATCCATTCTTGGTTTATTTTGGATCACAATAATGGTGAAAAGAATTCCAGTGTTATATTCTTTACAATTTGAACAGATTCCTAGCTTCATCAAAGGCGTTTTATAAATATTTGGCTCCGTTGATTTTATTCTAATGATCTATTTAAATCAGCAAGTTGTTCTTTATATTTGCCTATTCTTTGGTAATTCTCTCCGCGATTAGCTAAAGTCATAACATCATTTGGATTGATTTCTAACGCTTTATTTAAATCTAAAAGTGCATCCTTATATCTACCCATATTCAGAAAAGTTAATTCGCGATCGTACGATCATTTGGATTGATTTCTAATGATTTGATATTTAAATCTATAAGTAATTCATCATATCTATTCATCATATCTATCCATGAAGTAGACTTCTCAGAAGATGTACAAAAACTATCAAAAATATTTCTTTTCAATATACAGAAGATTTAGAAAAATATAACAAAAACTTAAAAAACAATGAAAAGTACATCTTTTACAGCAGAAAAAACTAATACGGACTTACGGGCTAAAATGACATCATAGACAAACAAGTTTATAATTTAGCTCTAAGGCTTAGATAATTTGTGGCATATCTCGGCCGATAAAATTGAGCTATTATACAATCAGGTAAGTTCTGTTTAAGCCTCTCTAGTCCTTTAAGTTATAAAAAGACGTAACTTGGTTAAGGTTGGTTACGACAATTATGTGTGAGGAAAGGGCACATAAGCTCACCCGATAATAATTCCCTTATATAGCTGTTGCAATTTTGCCGATAAAATAATAATAATAATAATCGTGGTACATTTTTTTTTATGCTTTTTTTAACATTAAATGGAATTAAATATTTGATTAAATCAATTGTTATTATTTTGCGGATCACTAATTACAAAATTCTTTATTTAAATTTAGAAATTTGAATAAAATACATTACAGTAATTATGACTAATTTTTAACTAATAACACAAAATTTCAGTATTTGTAGGTATACTTTGTTTCCAATTAAATAAATTAATAGGATCGTATTTCTGTTTAATTTCTACTAATTTACCAAAATTCTCACCATAGTAACGACATTGCCAATTATCTAATTCTTTATCAATAATATTTTGATAACTTTCATAAGTAGTATAATTTTTTTGAAAGATTCGAGAAAATTTTTCTAAATTTTTTAGACGGGTTTCATAATTATCCTTATTTAAGTTTACTACAATATACAACATATACAATGAACCTCTGTGAACATATGCCGTTTCATTTCGTCCAATTTCGTTAACTCTTCCACCAGTTAACATTGTTGATAGTCGAAAGCCACTTTTGAAATCTTTCATAAATTCCATTAAATACTCAACACCTTCATAAGATAATCCTGATAAGTCAATATAAAAACTCGTAACTTTATGAGAATTCCTCAACTCAGATGTATTTACAAGAAGTGTATGATACCAATCTCCTTCAATATATTTTTCGTTTTTAGGTTTAGTCAATTCAATAAATTTTTGTACGTGAGGTTTTGCTTCATTTGAAGAGC